AAAAAAAGAAGAGCGAACTGGGGTGGGGGCGGGGAGAAAAGTGCAACAATGAATGAATGGAAATCCACAATCTCTGTAAATGTTCACTTAAATTCATAAAATTTTTTTAAAAGGAAAAGAAAAAGAGGCAACAAGTCATAAAAGCAAAAAGTAGGAGGCTGGGGAGATACAGGCTTGAAGGAAGCTGTCTTCCTCTGCTTAATGGTCGGCTATCCAAGGCCCTGGGGGGGACACTGACTAGACTGTCCACCCCAAAGTGGTCACAAGCCTCCACTGAGGTCCTCAGAGTTACCCTGTGCACCTGCACTGCTCCCCAGGTCCCACTGCATGTGGGCACAAGGTTGGCTGTGCACCCCACCTCAGGCCATGACACTAGTCGGTCACCTCACACCTTCACCCTGTACACTTGCTCTGCACCCTCACCTCACGCCCTCACCCCAGCTACTCTCCCGGTGCCCTCTCTCCATGCCCTGTACTGTGCTCTCAGCCTGTACCCTCACCCCATACCCTGTGCCCTACCCTCACCCGGTGCCTTCAGCCCATACCCTCATGCTGTGCTACTGTCCTGTGCCCTCACCCCATACCCTTGCCCCATGCCCTCATGCCCTTGCCCCATACCCTTGCCCCATGCCCTCGCCCCATACCCTTGCCCCATGCCCTCATGCCCTCACCCCATACCCGCCCTGTACCATCAACATATGCCCTCACCTCATGCCCTGATCTTGTTCCCTTGCCCCATGCCCTTGCCCCATGCACTCATGCCATTCCTGTGCCCTTGCCCCGTGCCCTCAGCCTGTGCCCTGCACTGTGGAGTTACTCTCCCTCAGGGGACCCACCCATAGCAGCAGTTGAAGGTGTGGTCGCCCGCCATCTTCAAGGCTGTGACCACTGCTGGTCATCTCAGGGTGTCCTCAGTCCCCACACCCCTCCTCTTGACCAAACCCCCTGCCCTTTTCTCAGCACTGGTTTGTGCGAAGCAAGCTAGCCAAGTCTCCCCACCTTTCAGTGTGATGTGCATTCTGGCCACACTTCTCCTGAGTGTGGTCATCTGTCCTCTCACTGCCCAGAGAACTGTCCACACCTGTCCCCGGCGTCCTCTGGGGCTCGTGACATGAGCCTTAGGGAGCTCACTGAGCTTGGTGTTTCCACGCTCTGAAGACACTGTTATTTTAGGCTGGTAACAGAAAAGTGGGCAGCTGGGTCCACCAGCAGCTCCAAAGGAGAAAGATGAAGCTGTGGCCTCTTGGAGGGAGGCAGGACCATTGTGGGCCTGCAGCTGGGGTGACCCATCGAGGATTCACGGCTGTGGGAGGACCATCGCAGGCCTGCGGCCGTGGGAGCCTGTGGAGGGCTCACAGCTGTGGGAGGACCACCGAGGGCTCACGGCTATGAGAGGACCATCGCAGGTCTGCGGCCGTGGGAACCTGTGCAGGGCTCACGGCTGTGGGAGGACCATTGAGGGCTCGTGGCCATGGGAACCTGTGCAGGGCTGCTCTGGGCTGGAACTAACTCTTTGGCAGTGGGTTTGCTTCCTCTTCATTTTCTCCTAGAATGATTATTTGGGGGAGTTTATTGAATTCTTACCCTAAAAGGTCACATAAGACCAAAACTAATGTTTGAAAAACAGAGGGGGATGACAAAGGAGGAGTCAGTCCCTAGAGGAAAGCTGAGATTCCCAGTATTTACCAGGGGTCACTAGAGTTCACTCAGGGCCCTCAGGTCATCTAGGGTCATGAGGCTTCGCTGGGGTCACTAGTGTCCAGTTAGTGTTGCCCAGGTTCACGAGGGCCCATCTAGCGTCTCTCTGGGTGGAGCCTCTCAGCAGGATTTTTGGTGCATCTGGTGAGACTATGAAGAAAGAGCTGGTGACCTCTGACTCAGGCAGTGAAATGCACGGCTCACAGCCTGGCGCAGAGATGCATGGGCACATCTGACCTGGCCACCGGGGACCTACGCCATCCCCTGTCATCGTGACCAGCCACTTTTCATTCCAGCGAGGTTCCTCAGATGGTCCCCTGTGGAGGGGACACTATCCCACCTTTCCCAGGGTGGATGGATGGAGTCTCAGAGCCCTGATGCTGTGTCCCCAGCACAAACATGTCCTCTTCTGAGATCTGAGCTGTCCCCAGAACACATGCAGTGAGGTCTGTCCTGTGCTGTCCCAAACCCCCAGGCTTCTTTCTGTCTCCGCTTTCCTGGGGGGTGCTGTGACACTGAGAAAGGCAGTGTGCACAGGGGGACCCCACAGCACCCCATCACAGTTCTGCCTCCCCAGGGTGGACATGGGGCTGGACACAGACCCACTTCCCAGCCCCATGAGCACCTGACATCCCACCAGCCCTGTAACTCAGGAGCCAGCCCTGGGAAGGCGGGCCCTGCCCAGGGCTGTCCTGGGGCCAAAGTCCACTCAGGAAGTGACTTCCCAGCCTGGGAGTGCAACGCGGAGGTCCCCCCAGGCCAGGTCGCTCAGCTGCCTCTGGGAGTAGGGCTCTGACACCCCGTGGGGTCAGCTGTGGTTTGGAAGGAGGTGACCAGCAGCCACAGAGACACATGGACTGACCAGGCTCATCAATGGGAGCCCCCAGGCCTCCGTCCTGTCCCTCCATCCTCAGTGGAACTGCTTGTGTCTCTTTGCCAGGCGACACCCACACACAGGTAGGGCACAGTCACCCCTGTTATGTAAGTGAACTCCCAAAGGCTTGGGCACTCGGCTTCGGGTAGCCTCTTCCCTCCAGCACGAGCTTGTGTGCCCGTGTGTGACGGTATGAGGGTATCCTCTGTCACTGGGCCGTCCCCACTGCTCTGCTCCAATGACCCTGGTAGCAGCAGGGACCCAGGACTTCAGCGGGAGGTCTGAGTGCCAGTCAGTGAGCAAGGAGCCTGGGCAGTCTCCCGGAGTCAGTGTCCTGCCTGCTGGCCCAGGCACAGCTCCCAGCAGACCAGGGTGGCCAGGGCCAGCGAGGGAGGCCTGAAAGTGGGGTTCCAGCCCTCAGGGTCCTCTCCATGAGCAGGACCTCAGGATGGAGGGTGTCCCCCCTCCCTGCCTCAGTCACCTGCTCAGGCACCTCCAGTCATGAGGTGGACTGCCCAGCGTGCCCAGCAGTGATGGGACAGGGAGGACCAAATGCCCTGGCTGGAGGCCCCCAGCTCCGAACCCCATGTCCCTGCTGGCCTGTTACACTAGGTGCACTCCATCCTGGCTTCCCCGTGAGAGTGGCTACATGGCCCAGCTTAGCCTGACCTCCACTCACCCACTGTCCTTCCTCCTGTCCATCGAGTTATCCCAGCTGTCCCCCATGGCCTTGAGCTCTGCTGTGAGTCTGAATATAGCTCAGCTGATGATGGATTCTGTCCCTCCATGGTCAACCTGACCAGGACCTGTGTCCCCACAGGGGATGACAACCACGCCCCCGGACACAGAGATGGCCACTGAGCTACGCAACGTCATCGTACTGCTGCCCACACGGGAACCACTGCGGCTGCAAGTGAGGGTGAGCTGACCGCTGCGGCCGGAGGACAGGGTCAGTGCAGCCAGAGGTGGGGGCAAGAACAACTGCGGCCAGAGGTGGGAGGTGGAGGTCACTATGGCCAGAGATGGGGGACAGAGGTCCAGTTAGTGGAGACAGAGATCACTAACTGGAAGCAGAGCTGTGAGCCTCAAGGTCTGCAGTTTGAACCTGTTAGCCACTCTGCGCATGGGGTGACACCACAGAGGCTCTGTCCAGCTTCGTGGGGGCGACACCACCAAGGCTCTGTCCAGCTTCTTTGCAGACTGAAGTGTCTGTCAGACAATCCAGGTGTTTAAACTCTCAGACGGATGACTTCACACAGAGCAGGCCTGGTGCTGACTTGTTTCTCTCGGGTCACAGTCCCAGGGTGCAGCTTGGATCTCCCGGAGCCTGCTGCCTCTCCAGCTGCTGTAACATCAACAGGGCTTGGCTGACCCTAAGGGGAAGAGCGGGGAGCCTGACCTCTACAGACCTGGCAGGCATGAGGGATGGGGGGCTGTCAGACAGGCATCCCCAGGGGTGGGCAGGAACAGTTGTTTGGGGAGCTGAGTGTGGGGAGGAAGTTGTGTTCAGTTAGCACTCATGACAGATGGGCCAGTGGGGGAACAGAGATGGCAGGGACCCTCCTGGGTGTAAAGATGGGGGTACATCATTGCCCTGTGTAGATGGTGAGAGCTGATCCCCACAGCGCAGGCCCCTAGTCCTGCAGGAAGAATGGACAGCCGAAGGCTCGTGTGTTGGACAAGCTGTTCCGACAAGAGTGTGACTCTCCTCTGAACGTGCCAGGGGCCCATCTCTCCCCACATACCCACCATCGTATAGCGGTTCCATTTCTGCAATGCCACAGATTCTCCTCAAAATTGGATAAAAAACGAAATGCCTGTGAGTTCCTCTGATCCAGGCTGTCCTGGTGCTGCTCTTGTCTACCGGTTTCTCCCTTCTGGAAGTTTCTGAACTGTGTAGACAGCCCCAGAAGGCCTGTCCCCACGTCTCCATCAGCAGCTTCCGTCCTCCGCCACTTTCCACGTAGACGGCAGCGGCCCACAGTGCTGCCTGCTGGGAACTGTGCAGAGGGCTCATTTCAGCCCCGAGGACCGACAGACCCTCTCACGTACCTCGGGCATGTTGTCAGGGTGGCCAGGCCTTGGGAAAGGGCTATCAAGCTAGGGAAGGTGGAGGGTGGGAGAGAGAGGACCTTCATGAGATGAATTGACACAGTGATAATGGACGTGAGCAGCTCAGAGGTGAGAGGAGGCAAAGGACGGGGAAAGTCCAGCTCGTGGGGCTTCGGTGAGTCAGATCCACTCGGTGACTCACAGCCACTGAGCTCAAGTGGAGCTACTGGAGCAGTCTTCACTGCCTGACCCACAACCCAGACTCACTGACCACAGCCTGACCCACAACCCAGACTCACTGACCACAGCCTGACCCACAGCCCAGCCACACTGACCACAGCCTGACCCACAGCCCAGCCACACTGACCACAGCCTGACCCTGACCCACAGCCCAGCTACACTGACCACAGCCTGACCCTGACCCACAACCTAGCCACACTGACCACAGCCTGACCCACAGTCCAGCCACACTGACCGCAGCCTGACCCACAGCCCAGCCACACTGACCACAGCCTGACCCTGACCCACAGCCCAGCCACACTGACCACAGCCTGACCCTGACCCACAGCCCAGACTCACTGACCACAGCCTGACCCTGACCCACAGCCCAGCCACACTGACCACA